AAAGGTGTTCAACTGAAAATGTTCTAATCAATTTCTAGTAGTAGTTCCAGGGAGAAATGTATTGCTACATTATTAAAGAGATGGGCTCAAACAAAACCAAGACTAAAGAAGTTAAAATCCTGATCTAGACCTTGCAGCTCTGACACCTCTCTCCACCGTGGTTTATAGTGCCTTCTTATCAAGACTCTTTATTTCACCATCTGTCATAGTCTCAATTTTGTAAGCTTAATATGTGTTCACATATTAAGGAAAGAAAATATCACAGTATTTAACACAAGCAAACAAAAAATAGTTGCATGAAAAAAACTGAAGCAACATATCTTTTGTAACTCAGAAGACATTCCTCTTCTGACTCAAAGTTAAAAACTAGAAAAGCTGAGGGTAGATTTGGATTCATAACCTAAAAAAGCTTAACTTACACTTTCCAAAATTACCAGTATTGTGCTTATTGAAGACTCTAAACCCAAAATTATAATATCCTTTTCTTCCTCAAATAGTTCATAGTCTACTTTTACCACTTAGAGGAACTGGATAAATAGGCAGAGCTAAGCATTAATAATGCACAAGGACATAAAAGGATAGAACCAACCAGCTGAAAGAATGCAAGAAAAAAAACACATGAAAAGTAGAGCTGAAAGAATGCTGAAGGTTCAGAATGCAGTTAAGCTAACCATCCAGAAGTGTGCATATTTGTCTCAGAGCATGAGGCACTCCAGGGATCCTACCCCGTGCAGTACTACTTTCCTCGTAAGCATGAAATAACTGCATCTTGTTTACCTGCTGTTCATGTAGAATCACTTGACCTTTCAGTGGATTTCCCAGTGGGGCCACAGTCACAAAGGGCTGCCACATACTTCCAACTGTTCTTGGGAAAAGGTCATAAAAATCTACAAAGTATCCATTTTTACTGGAAACATTCATAAAATATAAAGAAATCGGATTGCATGTAGCCACATAAAGAATATTGTCAGCCTCTTCTTCTGAAATAAAATAAGACAAAATTAATGAAAGTATCCAAAATCATATTACCAGTCAACCATATTATGTTTTTGTACACTAAAAAAATGTTAAAAAATTACTTTAGAACAGGACATAATATAAAAAAATGTATACACAGAATGGTGTGTAGTGCTCTCAAACTACAGCAGAATGATGTTAAAGGCAATATCAAGGATGAGCTACGGCTTGTATAAAGTAACTAAACTTTTAAAAGACAGATTCCATTACTAGTCTTACACTGAGCAGCAGTTCCCTTCACAAGAAGTCTAATACACTTTTGTGCACAAGACAAAGATATGATGATTCCATCTAAATCAACTGTTATAGATCCCAACATGCACAGCATACACAATTTTACTTATAAAAGAAAGGATGTTAAGGAACACAAAAGCTTTTGGATCTAATTTTTTTTAAGTGCATGCTTCCTACTGGAATCAAAACACCAATGCATTATTTAATAATTCAAAATAAGAACAAAGGAAATTGTACAGGGCAAGGTTTTTTTTATCTACAACACTTTGATTCACTCAAGACATTTCTCAGGAACAAACTGAAATTGTAATTTCAATTTCAAGGTCATTCAAAGTTTGTGAGCATTTTAGTTAGTGAAACGACAAGCAGAGAAAGGCAGCATTGCCTTCTTTTATAATGAGCAATATTCAATAAATTACAAAGGTCCCTAGAAATGCATGCTGTATCTCACCATAAGTACACACACTAGGTTTTTTATTGTAAAGTATAAACAGATTAATCAGCTCTAATCAGATATTGCTCTCCAATAATTGAAAAAGGGACTACAAACAATGCATGTATAATACAATGTATAATATATTGTATGCTGTGGGACATCTATGTTATTTGTCCAATTTGCCATTATATATTTTACATAATATAACAGTACGTTAATTATAAAAGTTAGGAATATTTTCCCATACCTTGTGCTACAGCGATGTCACAGACTAAGTTCACTTCATTCAAAGGCAGGGTCCAAAAAGCAAGTTCTTCTGTGAAACTGAGGGACCTAGCTTCGTGCCGTTCCAATGGAAATCCCTGAATGTTTAAATATACTGGGCCCTAAAAAAAATTGTGAATAATGACAACTACATATTATAATATATAATATCACACTAACAGTTTTCCCCTCACTGCATAATAATTACTAAAGTTGACCATAGGAACGGGGGCTCTACAAGACCCCAGATCATGTTCGGGGTTAGGCTGGAAGCTCAGATTGACATTTGAAGGAGCCAAAAAATCTTAGAATTCAGAAGCATGTGAAATAAAACTGAAAACCAGATTCCTTCCAGTTTTCCATGTCATCCCAGACTGAACAGTGGGATGGGTTCAGATCTGGGGAACGAAACTGGACATATTTCAAACATTTACAAGGATTCCAGGCTTCCTTAAAAATGGCATTGTCTCAAAAAGTCCACTTCAAAGAGTTCTGAATTTAACCCTAAAAAGTCCTCCCACCCCACCAGACTCTTGCTGATCTTAATGCATTTTCTACATATGCAACATACACAAAACTGTCTATTTTTAAGTCTATTATGCTACTGGATATACTTAATATGGTTCCATTATTTCATTCGTCTACAAAGATTAAAGATTGTAGATTTTTAAAGGAAATATATATCACATTATGTAGTTTTAAATCCTGATCAGATTTGCATTATACTGCTCTGAAGAACTGATGACTACAGTCAGTATTTTTCATCGTTAAAAAAAAGACACAAACCTTTACATTTACATGCTGAGTTTCTGTTGGGCACAGCAGTTTTTGCTGTGCATTCCCTGACTGACCAACTCTCCAGTAGCCCATAAATTTATGATCTGGCAATGGTAGCCTGTCAAAAAACACATGAACAAAAAACTTAAGACCCTTTGGAAAGGAATAAGTTTAACAACAGATTTCTTTTTTTAACAGGCCATTTTGAAATTCTCATGTTGAAAACACTTTTTTATGTACAACTCTTCATGTACTTCTTTTACATTTGATAGCAAAAATGTAAGTACTCTCAGGATCTAAATGACATCATAAAAGAAGGAAATGTTCACAGAATATGGTCTTAAAAGTCTGAATTGCTGAGGCTATATAGTGAAATATATTAAGTGGTCTTTGGATTTTATATTCAGTTTGGGCCAGGATGAAGGTGAGGAGCTCTTCTCAGTGATATGTACACATTTTCTAAAAGAACAAGTGCAGTAAACGTATCAAATTATTGGTACAAGCAGCTACATTAATTCCCTGACACAGAGTTGGATGGGACACACAGGACATGTGAGGTTAGACAGTGATGATATACCAATGGCCTGACTGGTACTGGGAGAGGAAGGGAAGTAGGGACAGGAGGTGAGTTTCCTTCTCACCCTTAGGCAGTACCCAAAAGTCATGATGGTCTTGTTCCCCATTGTTATGCTACGGCTCATCAGTCTACTTTTTCTACTACTTTTTTCCCCCTTGTCTACAGCACAACTTATTGTCAATCCTGCAGAAAGGGTAAGGCAACTTGCATTAAATTTTGATGATTTTCTTGGCCTAATTCTCACACCCCCTTCCCCCGTGTTTTCATTAATGAAAGATTACTGTGAAAATGTATTTATATAATAATTGAATATACTGGTGTGTTATAATATTGTTTCACAGAAAATAATAATCACACACGCACACAATTTTGTCTTCCTCTACTGCCTCTCAAGTGACTTGCAGCAGCCAGTAAAATGCTTTAACATTGTTAATTATCAGAACTAAATTAAAAGTAATGAACTGATACTCTGTTACAGGATCAAAAAGTTTCCCTTTGATCTCTTCTAGGAGTAGATGCATCTAGTAGGTCTGCTACCTGATTTGCATTTTGTACAAGAAAGCAATAGTGTAGCAGTGCTGTGAGACTCTTAGACCCCTTCTTGTATAGCTACAGAACTTGGCATGAGAATAGAAGACATCCCTTCACCCACCTTCTAAAAATGTCTCTCTCAAGTATATTTTAAGAAAGGTCTCATAGACTGTTTGTTAAAAGTCTGTGCTTGGTCTCTCTCACTCTGTTTGTCTGTGTCTGTTCCTACTGTTAAAATTATTTTACAATAATAGCCCCTGAAGTTAGAAGAGACTCAATTCTTCTTGATATTTTGCTCAGGGTCAGAAGGAAACCCAAACCAAAAGAATAGGTTTGAATGCACCTAAAACTCTCACTCCTCATTCAGAGAGTAGGAAAAAAGGTCAGGAATGAACAAATTATGTTCTGTGCTCCTTCTGAATAATTCAAGAAAAATAAATTAGTGATTAGAGATTGTTCATTTATCAGTGATCAATGATCAGTGGCTAGGCAATGCACCTTGGTCAACCTGGGAGGGCCTCTGCTTAGGGGAGAAAGTAGTACAGTCTTCATGCCCATTTAATCATAGTTTCATAGATGGTAGGGTTGGAAGGGACCTGAGCAGATCATCAAGATCGACCCCCTGCCCTGGCAGGAAAGAGTACTGGGCTCAAACGACCCCATCAAGGTGTTCATCCAGCCTCCTCTTAAAGACCCCCAGGGTAGGAGCCAGCACCACTTCTCTCAGAAGTTGGTTCCAGATCCCAGCCTCCCTGACAGTGAAGTAGTGCCTCCTGATGTCTAGTCTGAATCTACCCTCTGCCAGCTTGTGACCGTTATTTCTAGTCACTCCTGGTAGTGCTCAGGGGAACAGGGACTCCCCCAGTGCCTGCTGGTCCCCTCTGACTAGTTTGTAAATG